CGGTCTTTCAGACGTTGTTTGTCTTGTTTGTCCTCTATGGACAAGGCTAAGTTGTTGTGATTCTGACTGGTCTGGAACACTGTTGCTTCCAAAGCAGGTTTGGTTGTCACAAGCGCGCAGTGTTCTAGGTGTGGTTTTAGGTGAGGTGCTGTTCCATTACTGGGAATGGAGGTGTTTGATATGCTCACCTGGGTTGGGATTTGCGGTTGCTCAACACAAACTGTCCCTCCTATGGCCCATCCAAGTTCCGTCTTAATAGCTACTGGGGTTCCTGGTGGACCTTTGATTCTCTCATCGGAGCCAATGGACTCTGGGGCGTCTCTTCCCACCATGAGTAGGATTTTAGCTTCAGGATCTAGAGGAGGGATTAAATCAGCTATGTGTGCTAAGTGAGGTATTCTTCTTGCCGCCTCTGGTGTTGAGATTTCGCTGTGGATATCTGGTAAGGTCTCCCATTCCAACACTGATGGTAACCGGAAGTGTGAGCTTCCATCTATCGCTTCTATGCGTAGACTGGTGATTTTCCTCCCCGCTGTGCGCCTTTGAACTGTGCACGTATTTATTGCAAAATGCTTCGATTCGCTCGGGAGGTCGAAAAGATCAAAAAAGGCGGGTTTTGCTATAGTAGCTTTGCAGTGTGGGTCTAGTATGACGTACATTTTTACTGCCTTTTCAGGTTGCCCGTTGGGGTAGACTTTTGCAAGACAGACGGGTGAGCATGAAGGAGGGCATGGTGAGCCGTCACATATATCTGTGTAGTACGTCCCGTACTGCTTTGGCTGCTCTTCGGAGTCAGTTTGAGTTTCCGTCGTCGAAGTCGCTTGTTGAGTCTCCTCAGAGGGCTTCTTAGTGTCTAGATGTAAGGCTGCTGGGTGCCTGGTACTGTCACACAGGTGGCATTTCACTCTAGCTGTGCAATCTTTGGCCATGTGCTCCATGGAGTCGCAGCATTTGAAACATATCTTGCTTTCTTTGAGTAGGGTCTTTCTGTCATCTAGTGATTTTTTTCTAAATTCTCTGCAATCGTTTAGGGAGTGTGAGGACTTGTGAATTGGACAAGTCAGGCCTTTTCTTGGTGGACGAGAATTCAAATAAGAACTCCTCGGTGTTCGTTCGTTGAAGATCTCCTTTGTGTGAGACGTGATGTCTGTTTTATACACTGAAACAATGGGTCTATCCTTCGTGGCTT